TGGAAGGGGCTTCCAGACCTCTTGGGGTCGACGTTGCGAAACAAATCACGACGGCGGGGGTCTGGGAAGGACGCGCGATAAGGACGCAAGGGCCTTGGAAGGCCGTGTCGACGCTCTGCGAGCGGGGCGCGGCCAGCGGAAGCGGCCAGGGACGAGCCGAAGGGGAAGGATGCATAGGGTAACCTGGGAAAGGCGCTCATCCTTGCTGTGCGGGTTGGCTGTACGACGACCAAGGCCACCGCACTGCAGGGAAGCTGGAGCGAGCGGAATGTGGCTGATGACCAATGGAAGCGCCAAGAGTTGGGGGATTTGGCCGTTGGCCCGGGGCTGGAACGAGCCCGAAGAGATGCAGGTGTGTTGGCCAAGGCCGGGAAGGCGGAATTTCAACTGGCCAAGGCTGGAAACAGTAGAAAAGTTGACGCCGCCTGCATTTTCTCCACATCCTGGGTGAAGTTCCTGAATTCTCAGACCTTCCCTATAATCCGCCCTCTCCTCCTCCTCCTCCTCCTCCTTCTCCTCCTCCTCCGCCTTCCCGTCTCCTCCCGAATCCACTTCCAAACGCATGCACGTCCCACCCCACCAGTCCCACAAGAGCCCCTTCCCACTGTATTCACCTATCACCCCACCAGTCCCACAAAAGCCGTTTCCCACTGCATGCGCTTCCCGCTCCTCCAGTCCCACAGACCCCGTTTGCCCCTACAGGAAGACCGCGTCAGACCGCGCAGGCCACCAGAGCACGCTGACACTTGTGAGGGTCGTGCCCCTCCCACTCCACCAGCCCCAACAGTGCTGTCTGGCTCACCCAGGGGGGCGCCGCCAGACCGCGCAGGCCATCGGAGCAACCCCGCTATTTGCCAGGGATCGTGGCTTCCCCCCCTCCACCAGTTCCACCCGTGCCGCCCGCCCCGTCCAGGCAGGGCGCGCCAGAGCGCGCGGGCCATCGGAGCACCCCATTACTTGTTAGGGCTGTGCCTTTCCCACCCCGACAGTCCCAACAGTGCTGTGCGCCCCACGCGGGCAGGCCGCGCCGGACCGCGCGGGCCATCGGAGCACCCACCTGTTTGCCGGTGGCCGTGGCTCTCCCACTCCACCACTCACCGCAGCGCCGTCTTCCCCATCCGGGGAGGCCGCGCCAGATCGCGCGGGCCATCGGAGCACCCTGCCCTTTGAGGATCGTACCCCCCTTCCCGATCCACCAGTCCCAGCATTGCCGCCCGCCCCGCCCAGGGAGGTCGCGCCAGGCGCCAGACCGAGCTGGCCAGGGGAGTTCCCCGCCAGCTATCAATCAGTGAGCATGCCCTTCCGCCACCACTCCTGCGAATGCCGTTTGTCCTATAGGGCCGCGCCAAAGCGCGCGGGCTGTCGGAGCACCCTGCTACTCATCAGCAAGCATGCCCTTCCGACGCCACCAATCCTACCAATGCCGTTTGCCCTATCCACAGAAGGCCGCTCCATAGGGCGTGGATCATCGGAGCACCAAGTTCTGCATGAGGGTCGTGCCCTTCCCACTCCACCGGTCCCACCAGTGCTGTCTGGCCCATCCAGGGGGGGCGCGCCAGACCGCGCGAGCATCGGAGCACCCTGTTCTTCATGAGGGATCGTGCCCTTCCCCGCTCCACCAGTCTCACCAGTGCCGCCCGCCCCGTCCAGGGAGGCCGCGCCAAGCCGCGCGGGTCGTCGGAGCACCCGATTGTGTCTCAGGGATCGTGCTCTTCCGGCTTTACCAGTCCCATCACTGCCGTTTGCCCCATCCAGAGAGGCCGCGCGGGCAATGGGACCAGCTTGCTATCGATCAGGGATCGTGGACTCCACTTCCACCAGTCCCTCGGAGGGCCGCCTGCCTTATCCGCAGACAACCGCGCCAGACCGCGCGGGCCCTTGGGAACACCTCTGACCCTATCAGCCAACGATCGTGCCCTCCCATCCCAAGCGCCCCATCAGTGCCGTCTGCGACATCCAAAGAAGGCAGCGCCAGACCACGCGAGCTATCCGAATAACCTCTTCTTAGTGGAGGATCGTGCCCCTCCCACTCCACCAGTGCCAACGCTGCTGTCTAGCCTATCCGAAGAGGGCCGCGCCAAAACGCGCGGACCATCGGAATATACGGCTATATACCAGGGGTCGTGACATCCCCACTCCACCGGTCCCAATAGTGCCGCCTGCCCCGTCCACAGAAGGCTGCGCCAGACCGGGCGGGCCAAAAATCGTGCCTCTCCCACCCCACCAGCCCCAGCAGTGCCGCGTGCCCCGCCCAAGGAGGCCGCGTCAGACCGCGCGGGCCATCGGAGCACCCGGCTATCTAGCAGGGATCGTGGCTTTCCCATTCCACTGGTCCCAGCCACGCGGCCTGCCTCATCCAGGGAGGCCGCGCCAAACAGTGCGGGCCATGGGAACACCGTTCTGCTCAGCAGCGATCGCGCCCCTCCCATCTCAGCCGGCCCGGCCAATGCCGTCTGCCCCGTCCAGGGAGAGGCCGGGCCGGACCGCGCGGGCTTTCGGAGCACCCTAATTTTCCCAACCATCCTGTGGTTTTGGGTCCTCGCTTTGAAGAGACAGCGCCCCGCGTCACTCCTCCTCCTCCTCCTCCTTCTCCCGCTGCCCCCCCCCCTCCTCCCGCGCAGTCCGCATGGCGGCGCCGCCCCATTTTGGCATACCCCTCACGCGTTTCGTGGCCCCATAAGGAGCTCCACCTAAGGTCCCAGCGGCAGGGTTCGCATACAGCTCCACCCTCATTTCAGCGCACCCCTCATTCATATGGTTCGTGGCCCCATAGGGAGCTCCACCGAATGCCTCAGTGGCAGGGTTCGCATGCAATTCCGCTCTCATGACAGCGCACCCCTTGCACGGCTCGTGGCCCCATAGGGAGCTCCACCGAAGGCCCCAGTGGCAGGGTTCGCATGCAGTTCCGCCCTTATTTCAGCGCACCCCTCATATGGTTCGTGGCCCCATAGGGAGTTCCACCGAATGCCTCAGTGGCAGGGTTCGCATGCAGTTCCGCTCTCATGACAGCGCACCCCTCACACGGCTCGTGGCCCCATAGGGAACTCCACCGAAGGCCACAGCGGCAGGGTTCGCATGCAGTTCCGCCCCCATGGCGGTGCCCCTCTCACATGGTTCGTGGCCCCCTAGAGCGCTCCACCGAAGGCCCCACTGGCAGGGTACGCATGCAGTCTTAAGTTCCGCCCTCAGCCCGACGCACCCCTCACACGGTTCGTGATCCCATAGGCAGCTTCACTGAATGCCTCAGTGGCAGGGTTCGCATGCAGTTCCGCCCTCATTTCGGCGCACCCCTCACACGGTTCGTGGCCCCATGGGGAGCTCCACCGAAGGCCCCAATGGCAGGGTTCGCATGCAGTTCCACCCTCAACTCGACGCACCCCTCACACTGCGCGTGGCCCCATAGGGAGCTCCACCGAAGGCCTCAGTGGCAGTGTCCGATTGCAGTTCCACCCTCAACTCGACGCACCCCTCACACGGTTCGTGGCCCCATAGGGAGCTCCACCGAAGGCCCCAATGGCAGGGTTCGCATGCAGTTCCACCCTCATTTCGGCGCACTCCATAGGGAGTTCCGCCGAAGGCTCTAGTTGCAGTGTTCGCATGGCGCCACCGCGCCCAATTCGGTACACCCCCTCACGCGTCTCGTGGCCCCAGAGGATACTCCACCGAAGGCTCCTCCAGTGGGAGGGTTCGCATGGCACCACCGCGCCCAATTCAGCACGCCCCTCACATGGGTCGTGGCCCCATGCGGAGCCCCACCGAAAGCGGTACCCACAATGCGGTACTCGCAGCTGCATATGGTTGGCTCTTTCGCCAGGCTAGTTTTACAGGAGATCGTGCCTCCCCCACACGGCCAATCCCACGAATAATTGCTGCCTGCCCCGTCCAGGGAGGCCACGCCAGACCGCTTGGGTAGAGGCCTCCTAGAATGGGGTCCGAGAACATGGGGTCGGGGGATCGCACCGTATCGCCAATGCCTCGGCGATGCATCGACGTAATCGCCGACGCATCGGTGCCGTCGGCGTGGAGAACATCGGGGCTCCACATCGAACCGCATCGCCGATGCATCGGCGCTGCGGCTCGATCCTCCGACCCCCTCTGCTCGGACCCCACCCGAGAGGCCTAGGCTCGGGCCATGGTAGCATCGTGTGCTTCGTCCCTCCGGGATCGTGCCGCTCCCACCCTACCGGACCCACCAGTAGGTGGCGAGCCAGGGGGGGGGGAAGTGAGAAGGGGCGTGCCTTCTCAGAAGGCTCGGAAGTCCCCCGGCCTCCTGAGAAGTGTTCTAAGCCTTCCCCGAAGACAGACAAAAAACTTCTCAGAAGGCGCGGGGGCTTCTCCTTCTCGATTCCGCCTTCGGAGAAGGCCTTCTCCTTCTCGATTCCCCCCCGTCGCTCGCCGCCGAAGCGGGGCCGCCCGCCTGACCCGTCCAGGGCGGCTGCTCCTCCCACGGGAGGCCGCGCCGGACCGCGCGGGCCGTCGCAGAGGCCTCGGAGGATGGCGAGGCCACGCCCTGCGTCCACGAGCTGGCAGGCCCATTGCTCCCTCTCGGGGCTCGTGTGCCCCCCCCCCTCCCGCCCCACCGGCCACCCGGTTCTCCGCCCCTGCTCCCGCGTCCCCCCCGCCCGCCCCACGAGCGGGCGGCCAGGTCGCGGTTCGGAGGAGGAGGGGAGGAGGAGGAGGAGGAGGAGTAGGAGGAGGAGGAGGAGGAGGAGGAGGAGGAGGAGGAAGAGGAGGAGGAGGAGGAGGAGGAGGAGGAGGTGGGGAGGTCCGATCGTGTAGCTCAGGTTTTCCTGCGCTGCAGTGCTCGCCTCCCTCCGCACCTGCGAGCGAGGCGGCCTGCAGCCACGGTGCTGGCAATCCTGAGGCTGCGCGTGCTCCGGTGAAGAACAGTGGGGGGGAGGGGCGATATCGGATAGCGTGGCCATAACGTCCACGCCCACGCACTATGAGGCCTCCTCCCACCAGAAGGGTCGCGCACGCAGGGGATGACATTTTCTTATCGGCGAGCTCACAGGCGATAGCAAGCGGGTCCCACAGTAAGCTAGACTCGATACAGCAATGACAAAGATAGAAGCGACCACGCCAATGCGTCCACGTACCCGAACATGTGCAAACCAGGAGGGAACAACTTTCACCGTAACCTACGCATTTGCAATTGCAGCAGCATGTCTCGCCGTCCAACTTTGCCGCATGTTGTGTTCCAGATCCGCCGCCGTGCCTTCGGATCGTTGGGACGTGCTAGACTGCGGGTCTGTTGTTTACTAAAACCCATTTGGTGATGATTTTTAAGACGTTCCCCCTGCGGGCGTACAACCTTCGAACATTGCCCCCTAGAGTTGCTCTCCAGAATTCGTTTTGACCTCCAGGCGGCTCACACACAGCCAAACAGCAACCCAGCGCTGCCACAAGACGTCCCAAGACCAGCCAAAGACGGCCCAAGGAACTCCCACAGGCCGCAAGCTCCCCCCCTGAAGAGGCCCGAAGAGGCCCCGAGGAGTCTGCAAGAGACGTCCGATGGGGCCTCCAGCAAGGCCCCGAGAGGCAAAGCTCATGGAACAATGAAAGAAAGGTGTAGCACGCTTGCTTCTGGAGCGATGCAACCTCTGGTCGCTTCGGGTCTGCTTCGGAGGGCTTCACCGAGTCCCGAAGGCGGCCCAAGGCAGCGCAAGGAGAGCCCCAAACGGCCAACACGACTGCAGAGTAGCCCCCCGACCAACCCCAGATGGCTCCTAGATGGTCCCAAGATCTGTCCAAGCGTCCCCAAGATGGTTAGACCAAGCCTCTTCTGGCGAGCCCTGCGGAAGCATCGTGCCCAAGACGGCCCCAGACCCCGCTGAGTGTCTCAACATACCTCCAACATGTCTCCCCCAAATCTCCCGAAAAGGCCGACGAGGTATGCAAAAAGTTAAGTGAGATACGCGTGCACTCAACGGAGGAGGAGGAGGAGAGGAGGGGACGAGAGAGGGACCAGGACAGGGCGATGGTATTTTCATGGCAGCGTGGCGACGCGCATCTCCGCCGAGCGTGGGCCCTGGTGGCCCCACGCTCAACGCGAGCGCGTGGGCCCTGACGGCCCGCGCGCTCGCGCTCTGGCACGCCTGCGGCCGCTCGGCCGACGCAGGCGTCTGGGAGCAAAGCGGGGTGGGTGGGCACCCGCGCGTCGGCCAGAGCCGAACGCTACGGACCCAAAATGGCTACCTGAGCCCACACCCCCTCCCACTTAACCTGCAGTCTACAACCAATCAGACTATACAAGTTAAGTGAGATACGCGTGCACTCAACGGAGGAGGAGGAGGAGAGGAGGGGACGAGAGAGGGACCAGGACAGGGCGATGGTATTTTCATGGCAGCGTGGCGACGCGCATCTCCGCCGAGCGTGGGCCCTGGTGGCCCCACGCTCAACGCGAGCGCGTGGGCCCTGACGGCCCGCGCGCTCGCGCTCTGGCACGCCTGCGGCCGCTCGGTCATGAGAAAAGAAAGACGCAGCCGCGCGCGCGGGGGGCGCCCCGCCCGAGTGCGAGGGCGGGAACAGAGGCTGCAAGAGCCTCGCGCGCGTGGCCACTTGCCTGCAACCTTGAGGCCTTCCGCGCCCGCGCACCCAGAGCGCGGGCGCGGCGCGTGCGCGATGCGCGCAAAAGAACCGAAAAGGGTGGCGGCGCACGAGGCGCCGGGCGCAGAGCGCAAGTGTGGCCCCGACCGCACGGCGCGCAAGACGCGCAGCACGGCCGGGTCCAGGAAGCACGCGACGTGCGCGCAACGTTAAACTCCTCCAAGAGGGAGGATCGCAGGCGCCACCTGCGTACCGTAGGCTAAAAGAAAGAGATCGCAGGCGCCACCTGCGTACCGTAGGCTAAAAGAAACAAGCTCGCAGGCGCCACCTGCGTACCGTAGGCTCAAGGATCGCAGGCGCCACCTGCGCACGGTAGGCTGAGAGGAGGGCCGACTCACTCACAGGCCGCCGCCGTCAGCCCGCGCCCGCGATGCCGCGGGCGCTGGCGTCGGGGTACGGGGGGGAGCTCCACGCCTAGATGGAGGGCGTGTTCCCCCGGCGGTCGCGGCTCTCGCCTCCGCTGCGGTCTCCGCCGCGCTCACTGGGGTCCCGGGGGCTGCTGCCATCGCCGCCCCTCGACGCGCGACCGTCCGCGCTGGGCCAGTCGCGCTCACTCCGGCCGCGGCTGCCCTGGTCGCCCTTGGAGTGGCCGCCCCTGCCGCTCTTGTCGCCCTTGCCGCCGCTCTTGGAGCCCTTGGCGGCCTTGCCGGAGTACTTGCCCTTGACCTTGCCGCCCTTGCCGCCCTTGTCGCCCGCGCCCTTGCCACGCCAGGCTGGGATCCCACCCCCGCCCGCGGCAGCCTCCGCGGCGGCAGCACGCCGCCGCTTTTTCTCCTGCTCGTACCAGCCGCCGCGAGGAGCGCGAAGCTGCCCAGCGTGCTTCCCGGTCTTACGCCGCGTGCGGCCGGGCGGGGTGTCGCCGCGCCGCGCCCACGCTGGGTCCCGCGCCAGACTGTGGCTGGGCGACCTCTCGCGCTTGGGCCGGTGGCGGCTGGGCGACCTCTCACGCTTGGGCCAGCTGAGGTCGCCCGGCGGGCGGTCCCCCTCAGCCCCCGCACCCGTGGCACCCGTGCTGGGGCGCTCGCCATGGCCGACACTGGGGCCCGGCGCCTCCCGCGCGGTGTGGCCGCTCCGCCGGGCCTTCTCCACCACCGTCTTGGGTTTGCCGAAGGCGACGCGGCAAGCCTCGCAGTAGCTCACGTCGCACCCCTTACAGTGCCACCGCAGGGCTCCGCTGTTAGCTCCGCCCGCGGGGCACATCTCGCAACCCCAACCGTCTCCCGGGTCAAAGGAGCTCCAGCGCATCTTGAGTGCGCATGTCGGGCAGGCAGGCGGCTGGATGGTCGGCCCATCCTCCCCGTCGCTGCCTGGGTCAGGGCCGCGAGGCCGGCTCGCCCACTCCGTGACCACCGTGCACGGGTCCGTCTTGTAGAACCGATAGTTCGACCTCATGCACTCCCGCGCGCGCTTTGCGTCAGCGCGGCGCTGGAACTCCACCAGCACGCACGGCTCCCGCTTGTGGCGGTGGTCGTACAGGAAGGCGATGTGTTTGACGACCCCGAAGGGCACGACCACCTGCCTGACCACCTCGGCATCGACGTGGTGCGGTACCCGCTCGATGCGGATGATGGACTCGCCCTCGTCGTGCTGGTCACTGGGCTGCTGCTGGGCGCCCTGGCGCTGCTCCTCCTTGCGCCTACGGCGGCTCCTCGAGCGCGGCTGGCGCTGGGGCGGCCCGTCCCCCGCGCCTGGCGCCTCCTCCACCTCGGTCTTCACCTCGAAGGACCGCGGCGGCGCCCCCCCGCTCTTGGGCTTCAGGACGGCCTCACGCTTCACGATGTCGGCCTTCGGGGGGGCGCCGCCCGTCTTGGGTTTCAAGACGGCCTCCTCCTCCTGTCCCCTGCGCCCGCGATCGCGAGGCGCATCGCGCTCGCGATCGCGGCGCCTCGCGCGCGAAGGCGAGCGCAAGGGCGCAGGGCGCCTCTCGCGCTTGCGGACCTCTTCGGCGAGGCGCTCCTGGCCCGGCGACCGCGCGGGCCGCGGGCGCGCCTTTGGAGCGCCTTTGCTCTGGCGCCGCGCGGCAGCCTGGATGGCCGCACGCGCCAGCGCCGCGGTGACCGCGTCCTCTCCCGCCTCGAGGACCGGGGCTGGGGTCGACTTCCCCTCGCCCCTGCTCGAGGCGTCGTCGTCGGTGAGCTCCACGACCGCCTCCGCGTCCACTGTGCGCATCATGTCGAGCAGCCCCTTGTTGTGCTTGCAGAGCTCGCGGAGCTCCGGCATGGGCTGCCCCTGGAACTGGGCCAAGGCGAGCGCCAGCTTGGCCGCCTGGCGCTGGACCTTGATATTCGGCCCCGCGCCCACCCCCCACGCACCCCGCTTGCCGTCGACGATCACCAGCTGGCCGTGGTCCTCGCTCGCCCCCGCGGCCAAGCAAGCCGCCGCGATGCACGGGGCTGCTTCGTGGTCGTGGTTGACCATCTCGACGAGGTCCTCGCTGTCCAGCTCGTTCACCACCGTGTACAGGATGTTGTGGGCGGCACTCCGGAGCTCGTCCGACAGCGCGGCCCCCGAGACGACGACGCCGAGGGGGTTCACCGCCATGATGCTGTAGTCATGGCCACGCGCCTTGCTCTGGTCCGGGGCCACCAGGCCCACCAGGAATCCCATGATGCACGCTGCCGGAGCGCGGGGCGACGGCGCGGCTGGCGCGCGGGGCTGGGGTGCGCGCGCTGCTCGCGCGCCTCGCTCTGGAGTCCCTCACATCTTGCGGGTGCAATTAAATTGCAACGTCCCCAAGAGGAGCAATTTTAAATTGCATCTTCGAGAACGAAGCAATTTTCTAAAACAAAATTGCAACACCAGGATATCGGAATCGAGCGCTCGCAGGAGAAATTCGGAATTCAGGGCTCGCAGTTGTGATTCGTATAATTCTACGGGTAAGGTTAACCGCTACCGTGTGGTAGTATTTAATTCATCACATAATCGGAGAAAGGGATTGCCGAAACGGGCGCGCGCGCCCGCTCTTTTCGTCTCGTTGCGTGCCGTGCATAATGGCGCGCAGGCCTTTCAGCCCGTGCTCCCGCGCCGCTGAGTCGTCTCCGCGAGCGGCGGACAGACGTGAATATTCACGTAGCGCCTAACTTGCCGAGGGAGAACTAGATCTCTCCCGAACGAAGTGGGTATATCATGTATGTATATATATACATATATGTAAGTACATATATATAGAGAGAGTTAGAGCGAGAGAGAGATAGCGAGAGAGAGAGAGACAAGACACAATGACAAAAGGGATGCCATTTCAACCGCAAAGAATCACAGTCCCAATCGTGCATGCTGCTCGGGTCCAGGCGGCCACGGCTGTGCCGTCGCTCGTAGATCATCACCACTTCCGTGTGTATGATCATATATATATATACATACACGCACATGGAGACAAGAGAGGCAGGGAAAAAAGGGAGGTGTGGCACAAATTTCAATCCGAGGCCATACTATTGGGTGTACACGCGTCGGCCTCAGCTTCACAACGAATGCTGTGTGCACTGAGGGTGAGATCGGGAGCGGGTGAGCACGTGCAAATCGTTCGAGGGCATGAGAGGGGGGCGAACTGCAGCGCCGTAGCGCCCGACTCGAACACCTGCGTGACTCAGGCGCCGATTTTACGGCACCTGC